TCGAGATACTGATATCTCATTGAGACACAATGATACAAGTTAATAAACATTATTGTAAATAAATGAACATGCAGAGTTGTTAACCCAGTTTTAGTGTACAACAACACCTATTCTTGGAGATATCAAGTTATTGAGGAAATTCACTAAATAGTATTAATTTGTAGACCCACAATAAACTATCACTAGTTTACAATCTACTCACATAATCACTACATGTGCTTAACTTCTACCTAAGACTCACCTATGTATGAGACCTTTCTTAAATTTCTTTCAATCACAACAGTGATTAAAAACACTAACACTTAAAAAGTTTCAGAAGACACTCTTCAATGACATAAAATAATTCAATACTTAAAATTTTAAGAATGATTACAGAACTTACAACTCGAAGGGACAATCCAACTCTTATATCAAGATGATATTAGAGAGACTCACAATTCATAAGAACACAAACCCAAAAATCTTACTATATAATAATTCCACACATGTATTAGGATTGAAGCCTTCTTTTTATAACCTTGAATGAACTGGATTTAGGCTTCAAAAATGTAGCTGGACAGATGCTAAAAATCTAATGAAACTTCTGCATAAAATTAGGACTTCAATCATATGTTTCCTAAAATGTCTCAACATTTAAAAAATAATTTTAATCTTCTAAAATCAATTAGAATCATTGATTTCTCAGTCTCGGACAACACATAGAATATTCTAATATTCTCAGAATATTGAAGATCTATTAAAACATAATAACTCCAAGTGTACAACTGTAACAGACAATATGTCGGATAAACTGGATAAGACATCATGTCCAACATATTCTCTCTGCAAGTTTAAAACATCACATTTAACATGATGCTGCCAAATTAGTTTTACCATAATTAAAGCCAACCATAAAATTAGAGAATTAGCAATCTTCCCCTTTGACAAATTTTAGCTAAAACAAATTCACACACCACATATCAGATTGCAACAAAAACAAAGGTTTGAAAATAAATCAAACGCACACAGATATCATAGCAATGAGCAGCAGAGTAAAACATCAAAGTATCAGTTAGTGGAATCTGCACACACAACAACATTAAGAAAAATAAATTCTCAGTCAGTCAGATATCCCAGGACATCATGTCAGACATCTGTTCACAACAACCCAATCTTGCTAAGACACGGCTCAGAAAATCAGAATTCTCCCCTCAAAGCATCCATCACATAATCAATCAGTAGAAAATCACAATTCTCCCTCCTCAAAACAGCCAACACAGAATCAATCAATAGAGAATCACAATCCCTCCCCCCCCCCCCCCCCCCCCCCCCCTCAAAAGCACCGATAAACAGTTAGTGATTATACTACTCTCCCTTTTTAGCCAGAATATGACAAAGATAAGTATATCACCCAAAAGAGCCACAATAGCACATGAGGTCAAGTAGCACACAAGGTGCACAAAATATGTCTGGGAATTTAACCTCATAGAGCCATAAACAACAAAAATCAAAAGAAACACAACAACAATCAATCATCAAATGAAAAACACAAGTTAATACGTCGAGGAGAAAAGTATATGAGCATGCTAAAAGACAATAAAGCACGACTACCTAAAATCAATACATCTTCCTCAAAAGTTTTATAATTGAGGAGCTCATTGGTATTGATGTGTCGAGTTTCGAATACGGGTTGACCCTTATCGTCAAGGAACTCCTTCCCATTTCTCGTCTCCCACTTGGTAGGAAAGAAGCCGTCAACAAACTTAGTAAGTTTGCCATATAACTCTTCATCCTCGATGTCTAAATTACCAGGCCTGGTGAGGTAGTGATCTGTCCCCTTCTGGAAATGACTCTCACACCAATGAAGAGGAAACTTCGAGACTAATTCTGACTCCTCGTTCCCGTCGTCATCCTAAAACACATTCATGTCCTCGTCAACTACAATTTCCCTCTTAAACACTGAGTCAAAGACTTCCAATGACATAAGTTTAATAAGGTAATACATGTCCTTGAAGTCACAGACAGAGTCCAGGAATGTCTTAAACAACCTCTTCGACTCCTTTAGGGAGACCCAACTGTGTTCTCTGTTTAAATACTATCATTGGAGATGGAAGTTGCGGAAGAATAGGGGGATCGTGGCGCCGAGCTTGAGATATCGACACACGATCTCGAACGCTCGAATAAAGGTAATCACGTTTGGGTGAAGCTAGGATGGCACCAACTCCAAATGAGCAAAAATCCCAATCTAAAAATCGTTGAAGGGCCGGCGAAGTCCTATCTCCTTGAAGATAAAGTTGTACATGGAAAAGCGGTTCCTCGAGTAGTACGAGCAGATCCTTCAGTACTTGGTAGAATTGTAAGGTTTTCATCCCGCCTCAAATCCACCATTCCACCATAAATCAATGGCAAAAAAAGGGAAGTCGTGACAAACCTTCCTTGACCCATGGTTTGATGGGTCCGCTAAATCGAAGTGAGGATCCCCTCGACACTCGCAAGTTCATGAATTTTGCAGGAAGAAGCCACCCGACATAAGAACTTCATCACGAATTCATGAGTTTCGCGGGGTAAAGCCTTCCCGTCCCAGGAACTTCATCATGAATTCATGTGTTTCGCGGGGAAAAGCGTCCTCGTCGTATGAACTTCATCACGGATTCCTGAGTTTCATGGGGAAAATCCTCCCCGTCACATGAACTTCAACATGAATTCACGAGTTTCACGAGGAAAAGCCCCCACGTCACATGAAATTCACCAGAAATCAAGCATATCCTAAATTTTCTTAGATTAAGTCCTATCATTTATCACCGACACCCGGCGTCTGAGGATAGCTGGGTCACCATCAAACACCAACACACGGCAGAATCTAATCAAAGCTTAACAGACTAAGAGTCTAAACTGAAGTGTAAAAGAAGCCAAGAGGAGAGAAAACTTACTGGAATAAAAAGAATGTTAAAGACTGGTGGAGTTCCGGTGACGATGGAGGAAATTTCTGAAATTTAGGGATCTGGTAGGAAAGGAGAGAGCGTACATATTTCGCGAAGGAAGCAAAACTTGGGAATGACACCCATTTCCAAATACTTATAACCAAGTCCCTTTATGTGGGAAACATAACAGCGCATGAGAAGGCGTGTTGTCGAAATGACACATCATTAACTCTACACCTAGGCCATCATTGCACATTAAATGATATGACACGTGGCTCAAGAAAAAAATCTTTTGTCTTCCTAAGACCCTCAAATTCATTCAACTCCCCGAATGTCAGACACAAACCAAGTTCCTTCACATCAAGCAAGCACGTCCCCGGGGAAACAACAAAGAGATCTTACGAGCATCGTGGAAATTCGCGAGTTGGGCCGAGTTTACAACACATGGCACGGGGAGATGAAAATGACAACCATGACCCCCTCGTGTTGTCTCACCCATGCAAACGAGACAATATCGGCTGCGGGAAAAATACCATCCTCATGCGCGCTAGCTCACAAATGAAAATTATCGAAGGTAAACACCGCCCTCACGGGCATATAAGCACGAGCACAAACGAAATTTCACCTTGCATAAATCCTATTTATCTTCCTCGCTGCACAGGATGGCTCTAAGTCATTACTCCATTGTCTAGGAGCAACGACTTAGGGGGATCATTATCTTTGCGTCAAGGACGGCCCGGTTGATGGCCCAATCCATTGGAGAGGAAGCTAGAAGTGCATTATCCACGTGCCCCTCACCTGAGGACATGTCATCATCATGTCTCACACTCTTCTGAGTTGTTACGCCCTTCGTAATGGATGTGGTAAACCCACTATCTGCGAGATCCACATAGCACTTGATCCAGGATGATGGACACATGTTATTCATCCTCACTTACACGTGAGAATGCTGGCAGCCATCCATTATGGGCTTGGATACTCAGCCCATAATGGAGGCCAGTGGTCCAGCACCGCGAGCTCTATAAATACTCTCCTCTATAAGAGAGTCATGAATCTTACTCACAACTCTCATACTCACTTATCTCTCACTCACAACTCTCATATTCACTTACCTCTCACTCTTTTTGACTTTAGCATCAGATTGTCTTGCATGTAACCCCTCATCCGAGGAGCATCTTGGACCAATGTACAATTGAACTGGTCACATATTTTCCTTCTGATCAAGTACAATCACTATCTAGAATAAGGTAAAATTTTGGTTACCCCTTGTAAAGTTGAGAGTAATTTATCTCAAATGACATGTACCAATGAAATTTTATCACATAAATAAAATTTTAAAATCACATATTAATCAAAAACTTTAAAGAATCAAAATTAAATCAAAAAAATAATATATGACTTGTCTTTGTCTAGTAAGATGTTTGAATGTGAAGCGAGAGTAATAATTCTCATATTGGATGTAAAATAGGATGTTGAACACTTTTTAACTAAAAAGAGACATGGATCCAATGCCTTAAAATTTTGAGTTAATATGTGATTTAAAAAATTTATTTTAAATGTAAAATTTTATAAGGGATAGCCTAAACCTCACTCTATAATAATTGTCATGAAGTCATGACATATAATTGTCGTGAAATTTCTCCTTAATTTCCAGAAGTAAAATCTTTAATAACTATTTCTACTTGACACAATGATTTTACATTTTATGTAAGTTACCATATTAAACCATGTTATATAATTACTTTTTTTAATGGATTATAAAAGTTATTCATTCTTTATTTTAAGAGAAAAAAGAATACGTATTGATAATCTAAAATAAATTTATATTATCAATCAATTACAATTATGATAAGTGTTAAGTCATACGATTATTTTTAAATAAATTATATGACATGATTAAATAATAAATTTTTATTAGATAATATTATAAATACATTACTTTTTAACTCTTATTTTAAAGAGAATATTCTTCATTAAAATTTTCTTTATTTACTAAACAATAATTTAACTATTTTTATAAAAGTGCCGAAAAGTTGTTGTATATATACATAGGTATAGCCATCATAATTATAAGCAAGTGTTTATTGGTTTGTATACATCATGGTTAGTAAAACATGTATAATACTTCATTTCTTTGTTGTAATTTTTTTTTTAAATTAATTAATATATTATTTTTGCAGGACTTGCTTATAGCTATCCCTTTGATAATTTCTATTGTGTTTTGCAACTCATGGTTTGCATTTGGTGAAAATACCTATGATGTACTAAAATATGGTGCCAAAGGAGATGGCAAATTTGATGACACACAAGTAAGTGCATGATTTTTTTTCTCATAAATAATCTGTATTTTAGTGTATTATCTAAATTAATTAACTTTAATACATTATATTTTCTAAAGGCATTTGAGAAAGCATGGAAAGATTTATGTGGAACAAATCAAGTGACTCCAACCCTTGTTGTACCAGCTAAACATACATTTCTTGTGCATCAAACAAGATTCAAAGGTCCTTGTAAATCTCAAAATCTTCATATTCAGGTACACAAGTACTATCTATCAAATGATTGATTATTTTTTACATAATTTTTTTATGAATCAGATTAAATTTTGATAAATTTAATTTGGTAATTATGTAGATTGATGGAAATATACTAGCACCATTGAGAAATGACTGGGGTTCATGTTCAAAAAGATGGCTTCATTTTCATACTGTGCCTGGTATGACAGTTGATGGATCAGGAGTGATCAATGGCAGAGGTGAAGATTGGTGGAGAAATGTAATGACATAAACAAACACATTAATTATATATTGAATTATAAAATTTTTAAATTTCTTATTTAATATAATTTAGTAGATACACAAATAATCTTACATTAAATTATTATTTTTTAATTTTCAGTATAATGCAACCAAAGGATGTATTGGATCACCTACGGTTAGAAAGTCTTTTCTTTTCAAAATTGTTAAATAGAAAATTATGTTATTTCTTCTATTTCCAAACACTAACACTTGACTCGTATGAGCAGGCTTTACTATTTGAAAGATGTGATAGACTTCAACTAAACGGGCTCACACATATAAATGGTCCAGGATTTCATGTATATGTAGTCCATAGCAAAGATGTAACAATCTCACGTATTAATATAAGTGCTCCAACATATAGTCATAATACTGATGGAATTGATATCTCAAATTCAGTTAGGGTAAATGTTCACGACTCTGTAATACAAAGTGGTAAATATGTTATGCATTTAACATTAATCTTAATTGTTAGTATGTTTTTTTAAATAATTATTTTAGAATTTCAATCTTTGATTATTCATGAAACTTACTATATAGGTGATGATTGCATTGCTATTAAAGGTGGTTCACAATTCATTAATGTCACTCAAGTTACATGTGGGCCTACCACTCATGGCATTAGGTATGTCAAAAAATTCTTAAATGCAAACCAACCAATTACATAATTATATTATTTGTATGCTTAATATTTTGATGTAGTGTGGGGAGTTTAGGAAATGGTCAAGATGAAGAATTTGCAGAAATTATAAACGTCAAGAATTGCATATTCAACGGAGCTTCTAGTGCAGCTAGAATCAAGACATGGCCGGTAATGCTACAAATTTTATTGAAAAAATAAAAATTCTATGTGCTTTTCATTTGAATCTTAAATTTAATCGGCGAAAATTCTTTGTATTTTTTAAGGGGGGAAGAGGATACGTTAAATCTGTTATTTACGATCAGATCATAGTCAATAATGTAAAGAATCCCATACAAATTGATCAACATTACATGAAAACTCCAGAAAAGGTTCATATTCTTTCACATTTACCTCATATTAATTTTGTTCATAGAATATAGATAGTATTAATAAGATGATTTTTTTTAATGCAGAAAGAGGCACTTAAAGTGAGTGGTGTAACATTTAGTAATATTCATGGAACATGCGGTGGAGAAAATCCTATTGTGCTAGATTGTGCCAAGATAGGGTGTGACAATGTTAACTTGTCACAAATCAGCATTACACAAGTTAATCCAAAGAAGCCAAGTAAAACAATATGCAATAATGTTAAAGGAACAACAAATACTAATGTTTCACCTCCCTTACACTGTGTACAAACATAAAGCAGTTTGTGATTTTATGTATTTTATTATAATCAACTCTGTGAAAGATTATACTCAGAGAATTTATGTATAACTTCTTGAGCAGTTATTGCATACTTCATGTATTATGAATAATCTATGACTGTTTATAAAGGAGATACTTTTTTTTTTGTTCTCTTCATAAAAAAAGTTGACATGTCAAGTTGTCATAGACTATTTTCAAGTTTTTAGTTAAGACTTTTGCTTCCAATTTCCTTACTTTGTTAATTTGTTAATTTATAGTCCATTTTGACTGCTTTAAATTTTACAATGGTATAATTATCTTTTGGAAACTATATTTAGATCTTGTTTTCGGTTTTTGAAACAAAATTTCCACGGAGAAAGTTATTGGATAAGTCGCGGAAAGATACCCTTTTTATAATAACCACGACGCCTTAATAACCACGACTGCTAAAATTTATGCAAAGCATCTTTTAATAATCATGGCGCCTCCATGATAAAATAACTCGTTTACAAAAGGGTTACGATTATCACTTGTACTGTGATGAATCGTTCGAAGAAATACACCTTCAGATGGTGTTTAAACAACTCGTAGTATCTAAAAATTTCAATCGTTGATGGCACACAAGACCACTCAAAAAATACAGAAGAAATAAATAGTTTTGAGATAAAGAGAATAGAGAGAAGAGAGATTCCAAAAATTTAGAAATTTAACGTATCTAACCACTGAATTTAGGAACCTTATTAATAGGTAAAAGATTCAATTGAGTAGAGAGAAAATAGTTGTAGAGTGGGGAGAAAATAGTGGGAGGGAGTTACTAGTGATACATTGTTAATTAACAATTAATTAATATTAATAACTTAATTCCACATAATCACTTAGAATTAACTCCCATTAAAATAGGAAGACCCTTTCAAATTCACACTAAGTTTCCAACAATCCCCCACTTGAATTTAAAGGTGATTTTAAAAGTAACGTTAAACGTTTCTAAGATAGTGCATAAGCAAAGGTGTCTACGACTTGAACCTTTGCGTAGCAAATATGATTCCGATTCAACAAGAGTGATACAAATGTCTTAAACTCTATTCTAGACACCATACTCGCACATAACTTTTCTTAAGGTGTATTATAATAGCTCGTGATTTAATGGCCGTGCACGTGTATCCTGGTTTAGTTAAAGCTTTAGGAATTCTGCCTCAAAATTCCATAAGAACCGGCCTGAGTTTCACAATCATACAGGAGAGTCTATCAAGAGTACTCATGTAGCCTAGGTACTCCCTCATATAGAGTATAGATCTCATTAAGAATTTCGATTATCTTATCCTCTCATCACTTTGGGATTCAAGCTTCACATGCATTATCATCTTATATTGCTCACAACTTGTTATTACCCATTGAACCTATTTCTTGGGATCTCCATTCATTTAGGTCGAGTTACTATCATGAGAAAATCATTTATTTATAAGCATTAGTCCCATCTTTTAGGATGTATTGGGGACTTTCTCTCTAGCTAATCCTTTTGGTCAAAGGATCTGTTAATTTTCATCAGTGCGTACATGATTCACTTTTACAGCTCCTTTGAAGATGGAGTCTCTAACGATGTTATGCTTTCTTCTAATTTTATGTCTTTTACCATTATAATAATGATTCTCAATTTTTGCAATAGTCGCAGTACTATCGCAGTGGATCAACACAATTTTCACATGTTTTTTTTCCATTAAGGGATCTCATCTAGTAAGCATCTTAACCAACTTGTTTCTTCACTAGCAGTAGTTAATGCTATCATCTCAGATTCCATCGTGGACTGAGCTAGAATAGTCTGTTTCTTTGATTTCCAACATACAACTCCTCCAACTATACTAAATACATAGCCACTAGTTGCTTTGGAATCATCTGATAATGTGTTCCAATGTACATCAATGTATCCTTCAAGTACAATAGGAAATATCTGATAGTGTAACTCGAGATTCATGGTCTTTTTAGGTACCGTATGACTCGCTCAATAGCTTGCCTATGCTCATTACTCGGTCTACTAGTAAATCTACACAACAACCCTACAACATATGCAATATCGGTTCTAGTGCAATTAGTGGCATACCTAAGACTACCAATGATGCTAGCATATTATGTTTGTCTGACACTTTCACGAGTGTTTTTAAACAGTTTCATACTTAGATCATATGGTGTGCTTGCAGATTTACAGTCAAAGTAATTATATTTCTTTAAGATCTTCTCCATATAGTGTGATTGATCCAAAGAAATTCCATGATCTAATCTTGTGATCTTGGTACCAAGGGTCATGCTTGCTTCTCTGAGTTCTTTCATATTAAGGTTGTTGCACAACATTGATTTCACATCATTAATGGTCTGAATGTTTGATCCAAATATGAGTAGATCGTCTACATAAAGACATATGATAGTGCAAATGCGATTCTCAGATTTGTAATAAACGCATTTTTCACTTTCATTCACTTTATATCCATTCGATATCATTAAGTTATCAAACTTTTTATGTCATTTCTTAGGAGCTTGTTTTAGTCCATACAAAGACTTGTTCAACTTATAGACCTTGCTTTCTTGTCCACGGATCACAAACCCTTCCCGTTGTTTATAGATTTCTTCTTCTAAGTTACCATTTAAAAAAGTTATTTTAACATCCATTTGATGTACTATTAAGTTATAAATAACAGCTATTGAAATAAGTACCCCAATGGATGTAATTCTAGTGAATGAAGAGAAGGTGTCGAAGAAATCTATTTTTGCTCTTTGTCTAAAACCCTTGGCTACAAGGGGAGACTTGTATTTATCAATAGTTCTATCCAGTTTTAGTTTCTTTTTCAAAACCCATTTACAATCGATTGGTCTGCAACTAGGAGGCAAGTTTACTAAGTTCCAAGTCTCGTTAGATTCTAGAGATTCTATCTCATCATTTATAGCTTCTTGCCATAAATATGTATCTAGAGATGACAAGTCTTCTTGAAGGTTTATTGGATCTTCTTCTATATTATAAGCCGCATAATCAAGCCCATAATCTTTAGCAACTCTTACTCTTTTACTTCATCGAAGTTTTATTTCTACATTGTCGTTGCTTTCTGTGGTTCTTATCATAGGATGTGACTCGATTTAGTGGCCTCACTATTTCTTGATTTGAAAGGAAATTTATCTTCATAGAATTCAACACCGTTTGATTCTATGATCACTTTTACATTTAGTTCATAAAACCTATATGTCTTATTGTTTGTTACATGCCCAATGAATACACATTCATAGGCTCTACTAGCGAGTTTAACTCGTTTCGGATCCGGAATCCTGACATAAGCCAGACAACCCTAAGTTCTCACTTAAGACAAGTTTGGTTGTCTTTTCTTTAATATCTCATAAGGTGTGATCTTACTTTTTGACTTGAGAATTCTATTCCGAACATAGCAAATAGTCAATAAAATTCCCCCCACCAGGGAGGTGCAACACCAGAATTCATCATGATTGCAACAACAAGTTCAGTAAGAGTTCTATTCTTTCTTTTTTACTTTACCATTCATTTCAGGAGAATATGGAGCAGTCGTTTCATGTATAATTCCAGGTTTAATATAAAAATTATTAAATAACCCAAAATCATATTCTGCCCCCCTATCATTATGAAGTCTCTTAATCTTCTTACTAAGTTAATTCTCAATTTCATTTACATACATCTTAAATATGTCAAGTGCTTCACTTTTATTCTCCATTAAGTATAAAAAGTATAATTAGAGCAATCGTCAATAAAGGTGATAAAATAACGTTTACTAATTCTATTTAAAGTTCCATCTAATTCACATATATCAGAGTGTATAACATCTAAAGGACTAGATTCTTTAATAATAGATTTATGAGAATTATTAGTGATTTTAGCTTGACTACAATATTCACATTTATTTGTATCATTGACATTTAATTTAGGGATTAGGCCTAAGTTGCTTACATTAGAAATAACTAGCTTATTATCGTGACAAAGTCTAGCATGCCAAATATTAAAATCACACAAACAGTAAATAGAAGGAGTAATTTTATTCAAATTAACATTCAACTTAAACATGTCATCAGTGGCATACCCTTTTTCAACAAAAATACCATTCTTAGTGATGGTGTATAAATCTGCCCCTATAGACTGACTAAACCCTGCCTTATTCAAAAGAAAAATAGAAACAAGATTCTTCAGAAACATGCATGGCATCCTTTAAGATTAAATTATTTCCTGAGGCGGAGTTCAACTCAATGTCTCCAATTCCATCAACATTAGTGGTGTGAGCATCTCCCAATAACACTTTCTTATTTTTAGTATTCGTTTATGTCTTGATCATAGCACGACCATAGCAGACATGGCGAGAGGCGCCACTGTCTACCCACCAACCATCACTTCCACCAACCATATTGATTTCAGTGATCATAGCAATGGATTACTCATCAGACAGGTTAACCTGTGCATTTGAGCCAATAGGTATGGGCCTGTTCTTACAACTTTTAGCCATATGACCCAGTTTTCCACAATTAAAGTAAGTGAAAACCGGAGTGTCATTTCTTTGATTTGGTGGTTGCTGTCTAGAATTGGACCAGATGGCCCCCTTGAGGGATTCCCATTCTTAATGTAGTTAACATCATTGCGATTCTGATTCTTTAATGGTTTGCTTGTAGGCTTCAGAACCACACCAGATCTCTTTTTGTTGTTAGAAACAACTAAGACTTCATCCTTCAGATCTTGTCTTCTAGCTTCCTCTATAATTCGGAGGCGAGTGATCATACTCTCGATTGAAAACTCTTTTGTTTTATGTCGAAGCAAATTTTTGACAATTATAACAACAATATCAAATTGTTCATCGAGGGACATACCTTCAGTTATGATTTCATGAGAAATCTATGAAATTCGTGGCTTTGAGATTTTACAGACTTTTCATCCACCATCTTATAGTTCAATTAACAGTTGACAACATATTTCTTTGCACCTTCTTCCTCAGTATCATATTTCTTCTGCAGAGCTTCCCATACA